CGAAAACACAATTTGTTGTATCAGGACTGGATGATATTAAGAAAGGCAAAGTACCAATGAATCGTATCGGTATTCGCGTCGGCACAGCTAGTGAAGATTATTTTAAAACAGAAATATCTCATGGAAATCAAAATTATTATCCTTTAAGAAGTCGGCAACAATTGTACGATAGTCTACTTGCCGGCATTATTGATGTTGCCTTTTCAGATACAGGAGCTGCTGAATATGCCATCAATAATATTTATTGTAATTTAACTATCGTTGGCGAAAGTTTTGCTGCAAGTGAGTTTGCTATTGTTACCCCTAAACAGTGGATATATGCACAAGACTTAGATGTTGGTATATTGTCAATAAGAGAATCAGGTCAACTTGATGATTTGAGACAAAAATGGTTTCAAGCAAAAAATTGCCCCTATGACACAACACAATCAACAGCTATTACAGTTGAAGCAGTTGGTGGATTATTTGCTACTTTTGCAGTTATTACTTTTATAGCAGTATTATTATATTTATGGACTAAAAGACGTAATATTAAAAATTATTTATCAAAATTTATACATAAAAAAGAATCATTAACCAATGCAAAATACTCCAAGAAAAGAAGTTCAAACGAAAATTCTGAACATGTACAAAAAGATCAAGTAGTCTTGCGAGATATTTCATACTTTTAAAGTAGCAACTCTCTTTCTCTTTGTTCAGAATAAATAGCTTTCATTCTACCTTCAACCAATATATATGTAGACGAGCGTTCTATATACAATTCCAAGAACTATATCTGATCTTTTTCATTAATGAGTTTATTACACGAATCAATTTGTCGCATTTTTTTATATATTATTGGATAAAATATCTGGCACGTCGTGTTTTTTAAAACGCTTCAACATTTATATAATATTATAATAAAAATTAATTTTTATGAAGACTCTCGTGTCTCTGAGTTTATGCACTCATTGAATTCTTCATGTGTTTCATATAGATGAATTTCAAAATTTTTGTACCTTTCTATGAAAAAAATTCCATATGAAAAAAATTTTCAATTTTGAAAAGGGTAATTATATAGTTTATTGTCTGATACTATATTTAAAAAAATATGAATAAATATTCCCTACTAAAATTATCAAATTGCTAGAAATATGGAAGTTCCTTGAAAATTCCTTCTTAAATTCAAGCTTATATGATTTTTGACAATACACGGGTGTGAGAGTGTGGATGTGAATGTGAGTGTGGGGTGCGGGTGAGGGCGTGGGTATGGATACTAGGTTTCATTCACACCCCAACCCACACCCACATCCACATCCACACCCACACCAACACCCACAGCCACACCCACACACCTAACCCACCCACTCACACCCCCACCCTTTTGAAAAAGCAACCTAAAAATATCGTTTACAACAAAATAAATCTTTCGCAATTATAACTTTGATTTGTTATTATTGTTATTCATTACTAAAATATTATTTTTGCTAATATCTTCAATAGTTTGACAACCACACAACATCATAGCAGTTTGAAATTCGTTTTTCAATATTTGCAACACATTATTCACACCTTTCTCTCCATCGACTGCTAAACCCCATAAAATTGGTCTTCCGACCATCACAGCTTTTGCTCCTAAAGCCACAGCTTTTAAAATATCTGTTCCTCGTCGAACACCACCATCAACATAAACATCCATTTTATAATTTTTTTCTTCGTCTCTTACGACTCGTATAATATCGGGTAGAGCTTCAATCGTCGATTGACTTGTATCCAACTGCCGTCCACCATGATTAGATACGACGATACCTTGAATTCCATGCCCTACGGCTTCACGAGCATCATCAGGATTTAGAATTCCTTTAATAATCAATGGAAGTTGTGTAATCGATCGAATCCATTCCAAATCTTTCCATGACAAAGATGAATCATAGGGCCAATTAAAAGGATCATCATTAGTATTATCATTAGTATCATCAATCAGATTTTCAGCACGAATACCATTAGGTAAGGCGAAATTATTATGTACATCACATTCACGGTTACCTAAAAAATAACGCCTGAATAGTCGAAAAAAAATTCCGTTGCTATCCCCTACATTGACAGAAAGTAACAGACAATTTATGAAAGGTGTTTGTAGTATTGTAGAGGTATTGAGTAATGATGATTTGTCAATGTTATAAGTGACTGAAGTTGGATGAAGAGGTTTTTTTCTATAGGGAAGCGAATGGAATCTCATAAACGGATAATTCTTTTATGACTCAGAATGCGGATCGAAAATAAATTGTTCGTACAAGAAGAAAGTCAGAAGCAAAAGACATAGTCTTATTTAGAGGATTGTTCGTTATAACGTCTTAAGAATAACATAGTGAAGCTGCCATTAATGAGCTAATCTGACATAGATTAATAATTATAAAGAACTACATGGTACCTTCATTGAGTTTCCAACATTACCTTCAACTCTGACTTCTGTTAATCACCCTGAGGTTTTCTCGAAATCCCAATGGATGATTGTTTTCAATAGTGCCAGAATATCAAGATAGTGGAAAATAAAGAACTTGTTAGTTTTCTTTTGCTTCTGCATGATCGCAGAATACAGTTATATTTCAAAAATGGCTCACGATGCGTAAACACCCAGTGACGATATCTCTTTATTCTTTTCCTGTGAGATCCGACACAACCAAATTCAGTCACCTATTTCTTCGTATTAACTACCCACTTAATCTATAGAATTTTTAGCATTCGACGAAGTTCAAATGTCCGTTTTCCTATTATCTACATACAGGTCGATTACGTTATTTTTGCTAGTTTTCTTCAGCTTACTGTATTTCTGCAAAACATAATACGCTTTTTATTTATATATGACTGGATAGAGCATTCATTTCTCTATCGATCGGTATATTTTTTATCTGATTTATCTCTCATCTTGACCAAGAATTTAGC